GTGAAACCGAGGATGTAAAGAATCCTGAAGGTTCTCTAGAAGAGACCGTAGACATGACAAAGAAAGAAATTCAGGTACCTGATAATGAAGAGATCTCAATTAATCATGTCATGTCTGGGATAAAATGGAACCGTAAGCAAATCGACGTCGATGATAATTTTGCATGCAATGTAGCACTTGAGGTTATGGATGAAAATGAGGATCATGAACCAAAGTCTATCGTAGAGTGTACACTACGAAGTGATTGGCCAAAATGGAAAGAGGCAATAGACGCTGAATTAAAATCACTCTCAAAACGAGAAGTGTTTGGACCGGTAGTCCGTACTCCTAATGGTGTTAAACCAGTTGGACATAAATGGGTCTTTGTGCGGAAAAGGAATGAAAATGGTGAAGTTGTGCGATACAAAGCACGATTAGTTGCACAAGGATTCTCACAAAGACCTGGAATTGATTATGAGGAGACATACTCCCCTGTGGTGGATGCAACTACTTTCCGGTTCTTGATTAGTCTGGCAATTAAGGAAGGACTTGATTTACGCCTGATGGACGTAGTCACAGCGTACCTGTATGGTCCCCTGGATAATGAAATTTATATGAAAGTCCCAGAAGGATTCAAACTGCCACCGGCAGCAAAATCTAGTTCTCGAGAACATTACTGTATAAAGTTGAACAAATCTCTTTATGGGCTGAAACAATCAGGGCGTATGTGGTATAATCGCCTGAGTGAATATTTAATAAGAGAAGGTTATAAGAATAACCCTATCAGTCCATGCATATTTATAAAGAGATTTGAGAAATGATTTGTTATAATCGCAGTATATGTAGATGATTTGAATATCATTGGAACTTCGGGAGAAATTTCTCATACAGTGGAGTACTTGAAGAAAGAATTTGAGATGAAAGATCTTGGAAAGACGAGATTCTGTCTAGGATTACAGATAGAGCACCTAGAGCAAGGAATCCTTGTGCATCAAGCAACTTATACAGAAAAGGTGCTTAAAAGATTTTATATGGATCAAGCACATCCGTTGAGCAGCCCAATGGTTGTAAGGCCAGTTGATGTGGATAAAGACCCATTCGCCCCTAAGAAAGAGAATGAGAAAATCCTTGGTCCAGAAGTACCATACTTAAGTGCTATTGGAGCATTGATGTATCTTGCTTGTCATACAAGACCTGATATATCTTTTGCAGTAAATTTACTGGCAAGGTTTAGCTCATGCCCAACTCGAAGGCACTGGAATGGGATTAAACATATACTTCGTTACCTCAATGGAACGAAAGACATGGGTTTATTCTTTTCTAACCAAGCCAAAGGAGATTTGATTGGTTTTGCAGATGCAGGATACTTATCTGATCCTCATAATGGTCGATCACAAACAGGATATATATTCTCATGTGGTGGTACTGCCATCGCTTGGCGATCTATGAAGCAAACCATTGCAGCCACTTCTTCTAACCATGCAGAGATTCTAGCTATCCATGAAGCCAGTCGCGAATGTGTATGGTTGCGGTCCGTCGTTCAGCATATAAAGAAAGATTGTGGTATATCTGAGGGAAAAGAAACTCCAACAATTATGTATGAAGACAATGCTGCATGCATCGCACAACTAAAAGAAGGATACATTAAAGGTGATAGAACAAAGCATATCCTCCCAAAGTTCTTCTTCACACATGAGCTTCAGAAGAATGGGGATGTTAATGTTCTAAAGATTCGTTCAAGCGATAATCTGGCTGATTTATTCACCAAGGCTCTTCCAACTGCAACTTTCAAGAAATTAGTTCGTCTTCTTGGATTACGTCGTCTCAAGGATCTTGACGGATGCACTCATCAGGGGGAGTAAATGCGCGCTGCACTCTTTTTCCCTTAACCATGGTTTTTCCCACTGGGTTTTCCTGATAAGGTTTTTAATGAGGCAGCATGTTTTGCGCATTTACAACTATTCGATTCTAATGGACATCCAAGGGGGAGTGTTATGAATGATTTAGTGGATGCCCATTATAGGCCCATTAGTCTATTCACCATATTTGTATCCCTATATATACCCTCTGATTATCAATAGAATACACATAGATTTTACCCCTTCAATCTCTTTCTTAACAAGAACATTATTTTTTTGAATATTATAGATTTTTTTGTACACTGTTATAAGAATTACAACACTTTATCAGCAGCTTTAATTATTGCTTTATTTCAAGTTTATATATATTTTAAAATTATATAATTTTTTAAAAATTTGATGATATGATCAGTTTTGTATATATACTACGTAGAATTAGATTAGTTGATTATTTCATAAGCTAATATATTTTTTATCTTTTTATTTTTCTAAAAAAATGTTAACTTTGTTTTTTTAGATATATGATAATTTTTTTTATTAGATTTCATTCTATATAAATTAATAATTTCGAAATTATATTAAAATATGAAATTATTATTAGATATGTTTATGTATATTCAAAATAGATATGTTTAAATATATTTAATTTTGAATTTAATTGTCCACTTTTTATGGTAAAAGATTATTATGATTTCCATAAATATAGATAGTTTTTTTTTTGTTTTTTTTTTGTTTTTTGCTGTCATTAATTCTGTTTGGAAACTGGAATATATTTCATGAATTTTTTTTAAAAAATTGGGGGGTGTTTGGCTTCAAGTTGTCCTTTCCAATTAATAGTATAGATTTGTATAGAAAAACTATTGAGTTTTAGATTCATTAGTCGTTGAGAAATTAAGTGTGTATAGTATAAGTCGAAGTGTAGGCATAAATGGAAGTGCGGTTGAGAATCATTGAGAAACGTGTGCTATTAAGGTTTTTACCAAATATAGATCTAGATGTTAATATTTTGGGCTCTTTTATATGTTGGCATGAAATTTGAACATGATTTGTGGGTTTCGGGCGGATTGTTGTATTTTTAATTGTTTACATTATCTCTTTATATATTGTCATAATTTATTATTTTTTGTTTTACATTTTCCTTTTTTGGATTTGTCGTACTTTATATCTCGTAATGATCATTTATATACTATTATATATTTTTCTGATTTTATGTTTTATATATTTTTTTGTTTTTCCATATGGAACAATTTTTAAGTTTAACATATTAGTATAAACTTTATATTTAGTTTATTTCATTTAATAATGTTTTATTTTAATTTTCAATTTTATGAAATATAGTTAATTTTTTATTTTGTTTATTAGCTTAACATATGTGTTGTGGAAACAAATAGTTAAATTCATATTGAAAAATTTTAAAGAAATATTATTTTTATTTTTACCTTTTTATATGTTTATAAAAAATAAGAATTCATGTTTCGGTCCGGCCTATCTCACTTATGTCTGGTTTTTAACTATAAACACTTGATTTATCTTTCTTTCTTTTTTTTGTAAACAATCACTTAATTTATCTTATAAATAATTTACAATGTGTGTTTTAAATAATTAAATCCCAAAAAATGAGGGATGCTTTTTTTTCTTCGGTAATGACAAATGAGGGATGCTTACATCTTACAAGTTGATATCATTTTTAAAGCATAAGGAACAAGATAAATATGAAATCGCAATCATCCAATAAGTGTCAAGTGAGTAAGTGAAAAGATGTGAAAAAGTTAAAAAACACTATTCAGCCAATTTTTGCCATTTGAATTGAAGATGTTGAAAAAATTGTTCAACCCATTTAACCTAAAAAAATGAAAAATTGAACAATTTTGGTCTTTGGAGATGAATAAGTTGAATGATATTCAACCTAATTTGATTCAACGTAATATTTTCAACTTATTCAATTTAGTGCAACCATTTGTAGTTTTACTGTATAATGTTGACAAAAATAAAAGTTACTGTATAGTTTAATAGAAATTAGTTAAAAACTAAGATTTATTCATTTCTTTATTATATCAATAAGAGATACATACACAAAACTTATAAATTTGATGGTGGAACATCCTTATAAAGACAAATTAATCTATAGGCAGTAATAGGATAAGTTACGCCAGGATACAAAAGCACGACACAAGTAGGAGGAAGTGAGAACACTGCTCTACAACAACTCTTTGTTAGCCGACTGTAATCTTTGTCATATGCTGCTTCCAACGCAATGAAACATCCTGGTATATGGTCTATGTTGGCTCTCGAACAATAATTCTCCTGAGCTTTCGATTGTTGGAGTATTAATGCCGAGATTAAGATTAACAAAAAAATGGTTTGTATTAGTTTCATTTTTTGAGAAGATTGACAAAGAATAAAAAAAAATTTGTGGGTTTGGAAAAGTATGTAGTGAAGATCTTCTTTTCGGGGATGTATGTATAGGTTACATATTGTCTATATGTATATATAAGATTTTTTTTTCTTTTTTGGTCAACAGTATATAAATATAGAAGATAGGTGAAGAAATCTTTACTATAAGAATATCTTTGAAAGTTTGACTATAATAATAGATTTTAATTAAATATTATTTTCAACATTTAATACTATATTAATAAAATAGTCTTGGTGGGGAATAATATAACTTTTAGAATAACTATATTTGAATTTATTTACATTCTAAATATTTATGAAAACCCAATTCTGTAAATATATCAATCTTACATACGGTGTATTTTATTGTTTGGTAATAAAATTGTATTTTTAATACCTAAAAATGTTCCATATTTTTGTATTTGCTATCATGCATTAATACATTATTGATTTATTTACAAATAAATAATAATTTTATCTTATTCATATCAAGATTTCTTTTATTAACTTTATTTGTTAATTTAAATTTATTGTATGAACTTAAAGTAAAAATAAATATAGATATGCATGATTAGTTTTGGATACTGTATTACTGTTTTTTCCTTCTTCTTTTTTTATCCAAAATGATAAATAGAGCAAGTAAGCTGTAAAAACTCTCTGATTTAATATTTATTTTATCCAAATACAATAGCACATTTCCTTCAGACTTTCAAAGAACGTCACAAATACATAGTTCTAGAGCAAGTAAGGATGTAATTAAGAACTCTCTGATTTTTACAAACTACTACGAAACTACTCCCACTAGACTTGCTTGGTACTAGATTATAGTCTTGTTTTACAAGCAACTTAAACCATTAGCTTAAGTAGACTGATGATTCCATCTTGTTTAGTTTTTCTGATTTTCCTTACTTGGTTTGAATACAAAATAGACATTACTCAACACAATTAATCAAGCTGAACAGGATAAATAACGTCGAAGATAGCTCGATCAGTCGTACTCGTTATCTCTTCTATCGTCGCGAAATGTCTCTTCATCGCTCTCACGCTCTCTTCGTCCTTTTCGCTTTCTTTGCTATACGAAGCTTCTAAAAGCTTCTCAACATTTACTGTCGAATGCCCTTCGAGCATTGTCACCACCGTAGACATCGACGGTCTATCTCCTGGAGCTGGACTGGTGCAGAGGATACCGATCTGAATCATCATCATTGCTTCTTGGCTATTGTAATCTGTTCCTAGCCTAGGATCTACTACTTCCAGAAGTTTGTTTTGCTTCCTTAGAACGTGTACCTGTGGAAGACGAAGGCAATGAGATTCAAATCTATATGAGTTAGGTTTAGAGTTTAGTATTTAGGGTTTTAGCAGTGAAATGATGATATACCCAGTCAAGAAGGTACAAGATATCGTCCTTGGATTGAGATTGAGGGCTTGTGTTGCTCTTTCCGTGAACGATTTCTAGAGCCACAACGCCGAAACTGTACACGTCGGCTTTATCTGTCAAATGGCCTCTCATTGCGTATTCTGGAGCTATGTATCCACTACAAGTTTTTTTTTTTTTTTTTGGTTATAAGAAGTCTCACAGAGCTGAAACATTTTGTTTGAGATTACTGATAGTTAACTTACTATGTTCCAGCTACTCGTGTGCTCATGTGTGTGTTTGCTTGTTCATCAAGCTTAGCAAGACCAAAATCTGAAATCTTTGGGTTTAGTTCCTTGTCCAGCAAGACATTAGTGGCTTTGATATCTCTGTGTACAATCTTGAGTCTTGATTCCTCGTGGAGATAAGCTAGTCCTCTCGCAATCCCCATGCATATAATCTGCCTCGTTGGCCAGTTTAGTTGTATCTGAGTCTTTTCAGGACCTTTAAATTTGATAATTACAAAAACATTGATGTTTGAGCAAAACCTTAATATTGGATTGGACTAAGAAAGAAAGAAAGGACGTTTTAAGCTAAAAGGATGACTAACCGAAAAGAGCTCGCGCGAGACTGTTGTTTTCCAAGTACTCATAAACTAGCAGAAGCTGATTACCTTCTACACAACATCCATATAGTTTAATCAAATGCGGATGCTGCAGAGCCGAAATCATAGCAATCTCGTTCAAGAACTCTCGATTCCCTTGGTTTGATTTTGATGACAGCTGCTTCACCGCGATAACGGTTCCATCAGTTAACATCCCCTGTATTCATACAATGTATCATTCATCTTTAATTCTCTCAAATTACCAATGTCATATGTATGATGCTCACCTTGTGTACAGGACCGAAACCACCTTCTCCGATCTTGTTTGCATGATCAAAGTTATTTGTGGCAACTTTGATTTGTCTCAACGAGAAGGAACTGATATGGAAATCTAAGTTCTTGAAATCTGAGGTGAAGAAACACAATTAAGTTTAGGTAGAAACAAAGAGAGAAGAACACAAAATGAATTGGAATATCAAAAATTTATTTAAGTATGTGTTGTTAAGTACCTTTTTCCATGTTACTCTTGGGTCTTAAGCGGCCTCTCAACCATAATATACCACCGATTAAAAGCACTAGAAACACTGTTGAAGCGACTACAACACCAACCACTTTACCAACAGATGAATGTTTACTTGGATCTACAGAAAGATCATAGGAGATATAAAGTTAAAGAGACAAAAACAATCAGAATAAACGCGGAATCCCGCCTATGAGATAGTTTTGGGTTAAGCAATGCTTACTTGGATCTACAGATACTGCTGATATTAGAGAACCATATACACCTCTCGTAGGAATAGCTTGAGTTCCTTTCCCAGCCCACTGCAATCTTATCTCCAGTTTGCCATTTGTAATCACTACCGGAAATTTCTTAACCACAGCTATTCCCACACCTTTTGCCTCATCAACAATATTGAAATCTTTAACCTCAAGTTTACCCTGAGAATTATACATCACAAACCAGCAGCCATTTGATTCAGCTACACAATATTTCAAGAAAATCAAGAAACACGTTTAGCCAAAAATTACCTGAACGTATATGTCAAAGAATCGTCTTCCCGACCTGCTATCACTAAACATAATCTCAGCGAAGTGAAGATTAACCGTATAGGATCCCTCTCGAAGACAAAACGCGTAATAAGTGAGAGAGATGGCCGAGAGCCGCGCTTGGCTATAAAGCCAAGTATCTAAGTTAGAGCTTGTTATCTTAAGCTCTGAAGATTTCTCCCATACGTTTTTTCCGTTGTTCGGCCGACCATCGTCCATGAAGTTTCCCGTGTTGCTAGAAACCCACCCTTTTCCACTATCATAGAAACCTGGTGTATCATCCCATGTGTCATCGTCATACTTAGTCCCATTGATTGTTATTTCCTTACCACCACAGTTTATATGAAGGCCGTCGAAAGCTAAGAACAAATTATGTTGTAACCGAAGATATATCAGTTGTTATTATTACGCGATATGGTTTTCTTATATGTATATATAGTAGCTTTGAAAAGGCTTACTTTTAGGACAAGTGCTTAGACACGAAACTGTTGATCTGTAATATCAGACTGGTTATATAAATCCAAAGCTTTCGAAAAGTTATAAGAATTAAAAAGAAAGACTTACGAGTTCTTATTTGCCACTAGAGGGCTTGTGCTTGAAAACAGATTCCTGGAAATAAAACAGAACCAAGAAACCATAAGCATTACATCTAATTTTAAAGCATGAGAAGTTGAGATGTTTATTGTTCTTCCTACATACACAGATTTTTGTTGACATTTCTCGGTTGTAATATCTTTGGAGAAGTTATTGTAAGTAAGATCACTGCCATAATAACCAAAGAAAACGTTACTTCTCATATTGTAATGTCAATACAAAGAAACTGTGTGAAAATAACTCACATCACGTCTCCTTTGTCTACCATCCAACTTGGTACTACTCCATTTAACTTGTTACCTGTAAAGTATCTGCAAGGTCGCAAAACAATTTTTTCAATATAACTCCATATAAAGCTTTTAGTAAAACAGGGGAAATAAGAGGAGAGAGCATACATGTAATCTACATCTGAAAGAGCGGTATATGTGCCCGGGATTGGTCCACTAAGTTTATTAAAGCTAAGATCTCTGCAAAATGAGTCTCACAAAGTCAGCTTAAATTCATTTTCTTCGTCGATAAGTCGATTTTATGCAAGCGGAAAAAAAATAAAAGAGACTACTTACAAATTCTTTAAGGTTCTAAGAAGTCCAAGATACGCAGGTAAGCCCCCTGTAAGGTTACAGTTCCTAAGAATCCTGCAACGAACAAAAAACTGGTAGTTAGCTAAATGAAGGTGGGAAGAAACCGATACCAAATTCGTTTAGTCGTAGGCTGGAGCTCACAATATCTTTAACAATGTCATGTTTTGTAAAGGCGGAAATGGAGATTCAGGTCCCCTCAAGTCACTGATTCTCCTACAAAAATTTCAAATTTGGGGAAAGGTAGATACATTATTGAAGGCGATATAACGAATCCCAACACATGGATTTAGTGTACTTACAAGTCTGTTAATGTTCCTAGACGAGCAATGGCACTAGGAATCGGTCCATTTAAACCACTTGCTTGAATGTCACTGATTGATGAATAACAAAGCAAACAATTAAATCTTTTATAAGTAACCAATACTGATATATCAATAAGTGAAAGAATCTCATTATGCTGTAAAAGGCTGCTTACAGTCTCTCAAGTCCTGTCCATTTCTGGATGAAATCTGGTATAGTACCACTGAACTGGTTGTCACTAATACGTCTGTAATCAAGAATATGCGAGAGGGTTTACTCTCTTACCATTTGCTATTTGCCACTTCTAATACTTGGACATGTGATATATTTATTATGTCTTAATTATTAATAATGTATTGAATTATTATTCACATTAATCAAGTAAAAATCTTCAACAGAACATATGTTCCATAATCAAATAAAAAAACACAGGAATACGTACAAATTAGTCAATGTAGTAAGGTTGGCAAATGTACTTGGTATTTCCCCGCTCAAGTAGTTAGAACGAAGAAGCCTACAAAGAGAAAACAGAATCTCAATCAAAAGAGGAAAATTTTAGGAGAAGTTGAAAAAAAAAACAAATTCTTACAGTCTTTGAATGTTCCGTAGATTCCCGAGCTCTGGAGGTAATTTCCCTGAGATTTGATTGAATTCCAAGGCACTAGAAAAAAAAAAATGTCCCGGAAATTGAATCATTACTGAGGAGTGATATCAAAGTGTAGCTCTAGAATTAGTTACTATCCCATTTAGTATGTATTTGTGTATATACCAAGGTTTAGCATTATCCTCTCCTATATATATAAACATATGTAACTCAACCTCTACGACTAAGAGAGTCAATACACAATTCTCATAAACTCTCATCACTATTGTCACAAAGCAGTGTACTCACAGACTATAAAGGTTGGAAAGGTTTCCAAGTTCTTTTGGGATTGGACCACTTATCTGGTTTCCATGTAGTGAGCTGCATTTTCATCATCCAATAGACATAATTAATCAAAAACATGTAGATAAAATGAAACAAGATACTAACCATATACGTACATGTTTACAAGTAATGATGAGGCTCCCCATTTGGGAGGAATTGGCCCGTTCAGATAGTTTCTAGACAGATCACTGGATAGAAAGACACCAATGGTTGCCGATATTATAATAGTGTAGTAACATTCGAGGGTTAAACATTGGTAAGCCAATCCGCTTACATATCTTGAAGGAAAGGAAGTTTCGAAAAATCTGTAGGAAGAGATCCCCTGAGGCCTTGTTCCCTGAGATATCTGTTTTCAAGATTTAAAGGGAAAAAAATATAAAAAAATTTACAAAGGAGTTATACAAATTAACACTCAATAAAAACTATTGTCTCGACATATCAATACATTTAATCAGTTCTATATTGGTGTTTTTAGTTCCATTAGTATTTCTTACTGTATATACTCCAGTCTATTGTAAAGTATATACAAAAAATTAAGCTAGTATATATACTGTATATATTTATTTATGTTATGAGGGTTTGTGTAAATACGAGGACGTGAGAACTAAATATAAATATTTATTAATGATATTTGAATTATGTGCATTAACCCACACATAATTTAGATTCAATCTGTTAATTTATATTTTAACCAGATTTTTTTTTTTTTAAACTAGATTTTACTCTTACAAATGTAATTTTTGCAATAAAATTTAGTTATTTATTCTTCAAAATAAACAAAATATTAATTAGTTGTAATGTATTTGATATAATGTATATATTTTTTATTTCTTATTCATCAAGATCCTAATTAACGGAGGGAGTATACTGTTAAAAAACAAAATCAACGAAGACCTATTAAGTCATAATCTCGTTGTGGGTATTTTTCATTTGTGGTTATTTTGGCCAGCCTAGTTTTGTGACCAATGGAAATGTGATTTAGGAAAGATATATGTTTTTTTTTTTTTTGTCGGCGGAAAGATATATGTTATAAAAAAAAAAAAAAAAAAAAAAAAAAACAGAGACAAGAAGAGAGGAACGCACATGCTGGTGATGTGGCAAACGACGGAGGAGCAGTTACAAGTAACACTTTCTTTGAATACATTTGTAGTTACAAATGAAGTACCGCCGCCGCATGGATCCACTTCGAAATTCCAACTATTCATCTGCAACTTCTCCGCTACACCTCTTAACGCATCCACTGCGAAATCAAAATCACAGGGGAGAATTAAATTGTATACAAAGGCACATGCATGCAACACCAACTAGCTATCTAATACCTTCTTCTTTGGGTGTTTTTGCAGCGGATACGAAGTTGGAGAGGACAAGAAACACGAACAAGTATGGTAAGAGAAGTTGTCTATTCAACGACATTTCAACATTCATCGAGATTTTGTATATTTAGTGAAGAATGTGTGATTTATATACAACCTTAGAGTGGTCTTCGACTCTTTGCCGACCGAGTCACTATCAAGTTAAAGCAAAATAGCCCTATTGGTACGTTAAATAAGAAAATATTAATTTTAAATACCATAAGAAACAACTATTTCATATTTTCCTTCTGTCATCATTTATACTGATGATAAAAGGAAAAAAAAAAAAAATCACAAAAAACCAACTTTGATTTAGAGTTTTTATGTATACGTTGTGATCGCATAATTTATAATTTAACCTCATGTTCAAACTAATAAAAAAGCGTTAAAAACTATACAATAATATTTACTAGAGTGCATTACAGAGAAATTTCAAAAACACTCATTTCCAAATTTTATCAAAAAAGACACTAAAAATATTGAAATATATCCAAATATACATGTAACCTTATAAATAAACACACAAATTACATGTATATTTGTATAGAATTTTATATATCTTTCATAAAATACCGTATAAAAATCTTAGAAAAACTTTTTAAAAACCTTGTAAATCTTGTAAAAACGATTTAAAACATTATCAAACGTTATAAATTATTCAGAACAAAGCTCTCAGTTATAGTTATTATCTAAAAGTACCTTATAAACTATATAATTGTTCATATTTAAACAGAAATTTTTTTGAAAATAGATAGATAATAGTAGTATTTTTGAAAAGAAATACACCAAAAAGGATATTTTTCAAAAATATATATATATATATGGAAGATGGTGATGATAGCTGCATGATGTTATGTCTTCAAAAATAATACGAATGCTGATTGTATAAATTTGTCGGTACTGGATCAGTTGATCAAATAATACAACGAAATAATTAAAAAATGGGTAATTTATTGGTCATATTGACTAAAACCGTATTGACTTAAACCCATCCATAACATAAGTGGATAGCAGAATTCGGAAGACTATGAGTCGATCCACGTTCCAAGCTTCACCTCCACAGCCCACAGGCCAACCAACAAAAATTATATTTTTTCTAGTTTTATAATTAATGCTAAAATAGTTTAGTTGTGTTTGGTTATATAGATTGTAGGTAGAATTAATTGTAAATTTGTTTGGATATTAAAGTAAGCAGTAGCATACCTCCTTGTAAATAATTTGAAAAGGAAGATTTATTTACTAAATATATTTCAAAAATATTAGTATAGACTAGGTTTTAACCCGCATTATACTATGAGATAAAACATTTTTTATTTTTTTTATTTATGAAATTTACTGATTTCGTAGGATTTGTTTAATAAGATTGCATAATATCAATCTTAATTAAATCCCTTTATACGACATGTCTTATATTGGTGTTGTTAAAACATAGTAAAATAAGAATTTAATCCGTATTGAAATATCGGATTAATGGTATTTTAAATTTTTACTAAAATCGATTCAAATCTGTCCTATCATTTAATATAACGAGTTTGTGTTATTTTAAACTTGTAATATGTTTAAATATTCATAATTTTGACCTTTTATTAAATTTAGATACAGTAAAACTATAATTTAATATATTGTTAGAGTCGGACCAATGTAAAAAATTAATAAAGTTCGATAAGTGGATATTTTTAGTTTTGTAATTAATGCTAACATATTTTAGTTGTGCTTTAGGGAAAAAACACTTATACGTGTATTGCAGAAATGAGATGATAACATACTAGTTCCAAATAAAATCACAGCAAGAATAGAGCATGACAATAAATTAACCATGTCTAGAAGATAAAGGAAGAAGAGAAGATGACTATAGATTCACGAACTCATGCTTTGACTTATTCTTCCTAATATAACACTGATCAATCATACCATTCCAAAACACGTCCCTAGCAATATAGTGAAACTATTATCAAAAGCACACTTTTTTTGAAAACGTACAATCAAACAATAAATAGAGAAAGAATAAAGAACATGATAAATATGAGACGGCAAACACTCAATGAGTGTCGATCGAATGAAAATAAGTGAAAGTAACGTACTGTATAATTTGAAAACTAGACTTGATTCATTTTTTATTTATATCATTAAGAGATACATAAAACTATAAACTTGATCATGGAAAATCCTTATTTAACACAAATTAATCTGAATGAAGTAATACGATAGGTTTTGCCAAGATAGATACGCAAGACGCAAGTAGTAGGAAATGAGAACACTGCTTTACAGCAATGTCAATTAATCATTTAGTTTTTTCTTGTTAATTTCTTTTTCAGGAAGAAACAATGAGCAACATTGTTTTATCTCCCTTAAATTGTAAAACACACAAAATGATATTTTGACACATATACAATATGGGGAATGTACCACAAATAACTACATGTCATGGGTCTAACTAAAACTTTTTAAATCTAAGTATAATTTGATTATACACCAAAATTCATTTTAAATTTTAAATACATAATTATATTATATTAAAGTATTATATTTTAGAAAGTCTTTTACTGATATGGATGTTGTATGTTCTAAGAAGATGACATGACATAACGAAAAGAAACGAGACGACGTCAAGTGAAAGAAAAAAATTCGTTTAATTTTAAGTGGATCTGATCCAGTTACAGTTAGTGTTGTTGACTTGTTGGGCTAGTGTGTCTTTTAATATTTTTGGGAGTTAAAATAAATATAAACAATATTCGTTATTATAGCAAAGAGTAATAGAGAATTTGTTTTTAGTTTGGGAGAGCTCCCAGAGAATTTGACCCAACTTAACATCCTAACCAGTAACCATGTATACAGCCTAAGTTAGCTACGGAGCGAGCCTCCGGGCACTCTTGACTGCTTTTATATAGAAATGCAATCTCCATAGCATGATGTTGTCCTGAAAACAAAACAAAGTTCGGTTGAAAAACATAAGTTTAGTCTTCCATTTAAACTTATCAGGACCAGAGTGAAGATGTCATATGCACTTTCACAGAGAATCTATTATCTAGGCATTGCGTCTTACCGCCTCATCCAGGTTGACTATAAACTTATCATTGAAATCTCCATCAGATGTTATGCAATGGTTTCCTACTATTTCAGCAACACGGTTGAGATTTCTTTCAGGAAGCTCTTTGATTGATTTCTGAAGCTCACGGATTTCATCACGAGTCATAGGTCTGTTTTAGAGGAGTTAACAACACCACATAAGTATCGACTAACAAAGAACGTTATCACTTTATAAGGAAAACTCTTTAGCTGATCATATAATGGCACAAACCACGATGTATACCTGCAAGTGGCCACCACATCGTCAAGAAGATTCTCGAGTTCCTGCTGCATATTGTCCAGCTTTCAAAAGAAAACAAAAACCATATGAGAAGTAACTTAGATTTCCTGGAAGCTTGAAATACCAATGTGGAACAATGTACTGTAGGTTTAAAGAGGAAGTTCATTACTTTGGAAAACAGAACGTTCGAATACTGGGACGTTATGTTCTTGACCATATCAGGGTCAGACCTCAGAAGCAGTTGAATATCATCTTCCTGAAGATATTTTAAGAAAAGAAAGTTACAATATCCGAAAGATATACTTTTATACTTCAAGCAAGCGGAATTAACAACATATAAGTAAAAGACATACGCTCGCCCCTAGGGATTCCTCAGGAACAAAACTGCTCGGTGAAGATGACTGACATTTGTTGCCAAGCTGTGAAATCAGGGACATGGTGCATACACATTGCTGCAACTGCAAATGAATAGCAATAACATCGATATACTCCTCGATAAAACTAGCACAAAAAACGATATCAAAACTGTAACTTTGATGTTAATATACAACGTACCTCATCAACTTCTGGAGTCAGATTCCTCACACACTGCCTTAACAAGACATTCAAATTCTCTTTCTCGAAATTCGACATCCCAGCTCCTATCACACTCTCAGAATGCCTCTCACTGTCTTGTTGTTGATCATGATGACACGAGATCCTCTCACCTTGAGACAAAAGCTCAGCTACTTGAGATCTGTAATTGCTTAAAGAGTCTGGTTTGTTTCTTTGGATTCCAGGTGATAGAGACGCTTCTGCTGTTCGTTTAGGCATAGCTTCAAAAATCAAAATAAACACTGCAATGTGCACACAACAGACGAATACAATTTGAGAAATAAAAAACAAAACTTTGATTAAAAAACGCATCATACATAGAGGAGACCATACTCATTGAATCTATCATCAATGATCAAACCATGATCGCCACACAATCCTAGATTCCAGAATTCAATGGCTTAACGAAATTTATACGCTAGAAATTGTGATTACACAAGTTTCAATCAAAAGCTTCACAATAAACTATGAATCTGAGAGTAGTGGTAATCGAATTGGACATCGAAACGGAGAAAAAGTAGCGAACCCAATCCAGTATCGGAATCTCAAGAGTGAACACGTTACGGGAAGGAGTAAAATCTAAGGAGATGCGAAACTCACCGTGAAAAATGAAAATAGTGTCGCCGCTGGAAACTGCCGGCGAACTGATACGACGGAGAAACCGAAAAGGTTAAACAAAGATTTATCTTATTAAACTGCTTTGCCCTTTTTTGTTTTTTTTTCATGGACACGTGCGTCGTGGGCTTGTCATAAGCGTATGTCGTCAAAGAGTATGATTGGGCTTTATTTATATGGGCCTTAATTTATTAAGGTGTATTTTATTAGAAGTAGTGAAGTACATCACTGTTTTGTTGGCGTTTATCTAGTTTCTCATAAATACATCGGTTTTATTTTACTTTTTTCTCATAAAGCAAATATATTGAGTATTTTTTTTATAAACTATGTCGGTTAATTCGGTTAGTTTCAGTAAAGACGTATTGAAGTATTTAAGAGGGAACTACTTCTCGAAGGGTCACTACACTATTTATCCCGAGTTTAAAATGTTTTTCGACTAATGTTAAGGGTAGTCAGGTTCAGGGGCGGACCCACAGCCAAGGTGGTGGAGGCAGCTGCCATCAGCAAAAAAAAAAAAAAAAAAATTATTAAAAATTTATTAAATATTATTAGAAAACAAAATCTGTCCCCACAAAAAAAACTACTTTTCATCCTTTTTCTTGGTAAGCACATGAATCCATGTACCAAAAAAATATATATTAATATATAAATTAAAGACTTACTAATTTAGACCTAATTTTTTGTTATTTTCTTCTTCTTTGGTCCTTTAATTTCTTTGTGTGACAACAAATCAACGACTATCAATTTGTGAGTTTATTTTCCTGCTTTTTTTACAATCGTTTTTATTATATAAGCATTATTTTTAGTCAGTTAATTTTATTTAATCAGTTCAAGCTTATAACTATGTTTCCTGGAAAACATTATATAGGTTTTTATGTTATACATGACTATATTAGTTTTTGCAGTGATAATTGTTTATATGTTTATTCTATGGTTAAGCTTTTATGGAAGTTTGTTACATAATTCAAAAATATAAAATTAATAAATTTTAAAATATAAGTCTATAAATTCAAAATTTTCTAAATTTTTAATTAATAACATGTTTTTTTGTTTTTAATTATTTGAATCTGTCACAAATGAAAATGTGGTAAAAAGGTTTCAATTGTTAAATGAACGTCTGAGTGGTTTTGTAAGATGTTTTAAAGTTTTTACATGACAATTTTATGTTTTTATAATTTAGAAATTGATAGTTTTTTTACTATATTTTTGCCCCCATTAAACAAATTTTCTAGATCCGCCCCTGGTCAGGTTGTCTGCATTTTTTACTATCAGATAAACCAATTGGGATTTTGGTCCAATTAACAGATTTCCTACACAACTATGTTTCTAGGATGGATCGAAGAAATACATTGAGTTATGAGTCGATAAAAAAGATTTAAATTTTTTCCTATATTGATTCAATTATTTTTGTTTGTAACTAATTTAAGATTTGATTAATAACGTCGTTTAAAAATAATCGGTTAAAAGCTTTTTAGTGGTTGTGGAAAATACGGTTAAAAAGTAGGTGGTTACAAATATCGAAAAGAAAAAAAAAGTTATTAAGTTTACGATTGAAGAAATATATATGGTTTTGTTTTGACTTTTAGAGGTATGGTAGAGTATATTGCGAATTTAAATAAAAATAATTTTTAATTTCGTATGGAAGAGTACTCTATTTCGTATGGAAGAGTACCTCTATACTTTTAGAGAGTATGGAAGAGCATATATATATATATATACAGAGTACGAACAGATAAGTGATAACATGCAATAGAATAGTGAGATTTGCTATAAACTATAATATTACTTTCAATTTGAGAGTGTTTATTAAAAACTACAACATGGTTTAAAGTTCATTAAAACAAGTTGACAAGAGTAATAAAAAGTTAGTGGACACTATAACTATAACCAGTGGAAGAGGTAATTAACATAAATTTGTAAAATTACAACCTCTCTATCCTATGAAACTGTGAGACGATATGACTTTATGCAAGAGATGTTCACGTGTTATAAAGTGGTCCTAAATTTCACCATACACATGAGAAAATAAAATAGAACGTAGAGAGAGCATGATTGACTTTAGAGAAACCCAAATTAATAATATCTCTCAAATAAGATCAAAGATTCTTCAAGCCACTTGAAAGTTGAAACTACATTACCACTAAAATAAACTTTTAAACATGTTGACTTTACAGAGTAGCATTTAAAGGAACCCCCTTAAAGAGAATGAAAATAGCTAAGTTTAAAAACAGCAATAATTACATATAGATCAAAGTTTCTTCAAGCAACTTGGAAGTTGAAACTAAAATAATAAATAAATAAATAATAAAAACAACTCACCTGACCAACACGCGCGTGACCAACACGCGCCCGAAATATTTTCTCCCCAACTCGTCTTCTTCAACAAAACCTAGATCTACGCCGTCGTTTGCCTCTCCGGCACCGGCGCTCTTCGCCGTGGCTGTGAGAGGGCCCCCTGTGTCTCGTGCTACTTGGGTGCCTCTCCTAAGGCGATTTGACGAGCTTCAGAACATGGTCGCGGCGGCTAGGTTAACAGCAAATCTCTTAAGTGGCTCCATTGGCGTCGGCTCTCTTTGACTCCTCTCGAGTAACACGGCGGTTCCACCTCTCCGACGATCGACCTTCTCAACAGCCTTGCTCGAGGACAGCGGCTAGGGTTGTGTTATTTTTTCTCGAGGTGTTTCACGGCGGTTTACCCTCGCTCCGATTCTCGGTGTCGTGACTACTTGGCTTTGGTTTAGCAAAGGTGGTGTTTGGGTCTTCTCAGGTGAGTGGTTAGTGGAAGATGGTCTTGGCCTCTCTTTCTCTTCCCTTTTGGCATTTGACGAATCTTCTCAATAAGATTCACGGTGGTGTTTCTCACTCCGTCAAGGGTTTGGAAAGCTTGCCTCTCCTTCCCTCTGTGCTTGCTGCTTGTTCTTCCGATCTGTTCTCTCTGCTCCCGTCCTGTAGAGGCATCATTAGGGTGTGTCAAAGACAGGTGTGTGAGGTCGGAGCTCGAGCGTTTTAACTTCTTGTTTTAAATGTGCGGCTATTCAGGGAGTTGGAGCGATGCCGATGTCGTTTCTCTCATATCCGCCGGTTTAGCTAGCTGGTTTTAGCTGCTTAAGAGTTTTCTCCTTTGTCGTTCTCCATCGATCTTGCTTTGGTATTGCTCTCCAAGATCTTGCTGCTCCGTTTGGTGCACAAAGCTCTTGGGTGTTGGTTAGTCTTGATTTTGCTTTGTTCCCTTTGTGTGTTGCCTCTTTGTGGAGAAGAAATTTTGTTGGCTTGTGCTTTGGTTTGTGGATTAGCTAACTTGGCTGGTGGAGGAGCTAGTAAAACCTAAGGATTGTTTAGCGTTTGGTCGTATTGTTAGATTTGCTCTGTGCTAGCCGACCTCGGGGAATGAGCTTGGTAGAGTGAGCTAGCGCTTTCGTTTCCTTTGGTTCGTGTGGTTCCGCTCTGAGAAAGCTCATGGATTGTTCAAAATGCGTCTCTCACTTGATGAAGAGGGAGTCAGTGATTGAGAGCTCTTTGTTCTAAGCCGTTGACGGCTCAGTATTCTCGGACTACCGGTGAAAGGCTTCCATTCGCTATGGTTTTCTTTAAAGCGATCATTGCCCTTTGACAACATGTTTTTCTTCTCCTTGAGGTCTCATCTAGGTGAATCTTCAAAATCGTTAATCACTTCAATGACTCCAAAAGTGTAACCGCTTTTGTTGATGTCTATGGACTGATTGTGTTTATCACTTCATCTATTCCGAAAGCGTCACTGCTTTTGTCGATTGATGGACTGATTGTATTTTTGCTTCATGTTTTTTATTCTTTTTTTGCCATGGAACCAATCTATAGGTTTTACTTCATTGTAATTCCTAACTATTTTCATTATTAATGAAATATTTACATTCTTAGCAAAAAAAAAAAAAAAAAATAATAAATAAGTTTTGACAAACCTGAGCATGGTTGACTTGAGAGAGTAGTATATAAAGGAACCTTTATGAGAATGAATATACCAACTTCAAAACAACAAATTACCAATCCATATCTCAAGTAGATCAAAGTAGTCCTCCGTACGTAGAAACAACGACATGGCTAGTTGTCCTCGGTACGTAGAAGAGAAAACAAATGAAGGAATGGTTCTTAACCTAGCCACGCAGCATGGTTACATGGTATCCACTTCCAACAACTCCAAAGGTCTTTTAGCTGCTAGCTTGGGACGCACTAGCACCTTCATTCGGATCCCCACGAAATGCGAGAGAGAAACCCTAATAAATGATCCAAAACTTGAAGAAATGATGAATAAGGATGGCTTGACACCTTTGCATCGTGCGGCAATGGAAGGTTCTGTTGATATCCTTAGGGAGTTTCTTGACAAGGCTCCTTCTTCTTTCCACTCAGTGACACGAGGAAAGAAAGAAACTGTCTTTCATATAGCTGCGAGACACAAGAAGAACGAAGCCTTCATCTTCATGGCAAAGAGCCCCAAATTAGACCAACTTCTCTACCAGCTCGATGGAGAAGGCAATAATGTGCTTCACGTCGCTGCCTCCGTAGGCTCTATTGCTGTAAGTTTTCTCTTTCTCTCTATTTTTTTTATCGTTTTATGTGCTTAGACCAAAACATGTAGACTATATATAAACTAAGACCATCTCTATTGCCTATTTCTATTCTTTTCTAAAATAGAGCATTCTTTTGCCCCAATGTATTACTCTATATCTTCCTCTAAAATAGAAGTATGGTAAAAAAGATAGAGTTGAGTAACTCTACTCTATTCTACTCTATTTTAGAGCAAAATATAAAATATGGTTGGAACAAATGTTAAAATAGAGTGGGGTTGGAAATGCCCTAACAACATTAAAAAAAAAAAAACTAGAGTTAAAATGTTGTTTCTAAGTTTTATTTATGAGACTATAGAGTAACAACTTCTTGAGAAGTGATATGATTAAAACATAAAAATTTCGTTTTCTTGTTTATTTCCTAATTTCATTAATAAATTATATTTGGATATTATAATATTACAGCTTGTAAATTACATAATCGAAGAAACAAAAATAGAAGTCACTGCCAAGAACAAGAAGGGCTTTGCAGCCATTGACCTTCTCAACAAAGATGATGAAGGTTCCCGTCAGATATCTACTGCTCTGATGTGTGGTCCGGATTTATTAATTGAACACTCTTCAAGTACTAGAGAAGTGGGAACACTTGTGATCCAAGTAATTGACGAATTGAAGCAGCTCCAGATGCAGATGCTAAGAGTTCAAAGTAAAGTGACTCCAAACAAAGAAATGGAGATGCAACTAGAGGCTTTACAAAACGCTAGAAACACTATCACAATTGTTGCGGTCTTGATCGCATCGGTTACTTTCACGTGCGGTCTAAATCCGCCTGGTGGGGTTAATCAAGAAGGGAAAGCAGCCGCAGGAAGAACCCTAGCTTTCATGATCTTCTCTATAAGCAACAGCATCGCCTTGTTTACATCAGTGAGTATGGTCATTCTTCTCCTAAGCATTATACCTTACAGGGAGGATTCACTTAAGAAATTCTTAATCATCACACACTGGATGATGTGGGTGGCTGTAGCAGCCATGACAAGTGCTTATGTCGCTGCGGCATCAGTCACTTTACCACGGTTTAGAGAAAACAAATGGTTGGTTCATGCCACTGTTGCTATCGCTGGTTTGACACTAGGTGGTATGTTTATTTATCTACAGTTTAAGATGGCTAGATGCATGTTGAGGAGGCTGGTTTTTCGTAAATGCATGTCGTCGTTCACTTCAGTACCCAAGAATGGATCCTTAGACATGGCAGCTAATTCAATCCATGGTTACTATAGCTATTAAAATCATGTTCAAAAGATAGTAATATTATTATCCAACTTATATATATATTCACGTACCATAATAAGTGATTTAGCATCTACGATGTTATTTGTATATGTTGTATATGTATGCAACATTAATTTTCAGAACTCATTTCAAATTTAGTGTTTTCGTAGTCACATAGTATGAATCTATTATGAACTTCCACTATTAATACTAGATACTGTATATTTTAAGCTTAATTTTTAAATTTAATTTTGATGAAAACCATACAAATTAGTTCCACAAAACTAGTATTGAACATGAATATTACAATAGTCGTGTGTTGTTCTCTATTGTCTTGAAAATCGAAAAATTACCATCACCACATGTTTTCTCTTTTTTTTTTTTTTTTTGTCATCCCACATGTTCTCTCTTTTACTAACAAAAGATCAAACCAATAAAATTTTAAGACAAGTTCCGATGGACTCGGTCAACCAAAAACTTCGGTCAAATATGTAATAATCCCTATAAATTCAATTTTACTTCTTCCTTAATTTCTTCAAAATTACTCTTTTCTTTTTCTTTCACCTTTTCCATAAACACTCGAGAGACGTAATTAATCATTTAATTACTACAAAGACAAAAACACATTCACACACACACACACTTTACACACAAAATGACAATGACACTTAAGCTCCTATCTCTCGCCGTGGCCGCATTGGCCTTAACCACCGTCTTCGCCGCGGATGCACCAACACCCGCAAGCGCGCCTAAAGCCAACAATGGCGGTAAAAACTCAACCTCTCCTTCTCCGGCCGCGGCAGCGTCCCCAAAATCAACCGGCTCCGCTCCAACCACGCCGCCTACGCCTGCTCCCACCATGGCCAAGAAAAACTCCTCCGCAACTCCAAGCCCTTCCCCATCATCAGGCAGCAGCAACACCGCAAAGTCTCCGAAGTCATCATCTGCCAAAACTCCGGCTGCAAGCCCTGACTCAAGCTCCGACGATTCTTCCGAAGGTCCTACCAGCTCATCCGACGCACCTACCGGCTCCTCTCCGCCAGCTCCGACTCCAGACATGTCTCCATCATCCGACGATGGAACTGGCGCCAGTGACGGCCCTGACGCTTCTCCTCCGTCCGCAAGAGCCTCATTGCTTGAGATCTCTGTCTCCGGCTCTGTCCTCGCTGCCGTTGCATGGCTTTTCTTCATATAATTTGAAGATCATTAGTTTTTTGAGGCTTTCATATTATATTTAAAACTATATATTAAACGTTCCATATTCATTTTTTCGGGTTATTCTAAACAGTTCTCGTTCCGATCCGATTTTTAAACACGTTAAATTCGCGTGCATAGTACGGAAGGTTAGGATTTGATCTTGTTATAAAAATGTTTAGTTGTATTATTTATGATTTTGATTTGTTTATGTAATCTTTAGTTGTTATATCAATAACCATGCATGGTATCCTCATGGTTCCAAGGCTCTATTTTTGTTTTAATTACATCCATTTTTGAAATGATCCTTGCATGGCTAGTATTTACCCATCTCTTCGTGGAAAACAATGCTGAGCAACGTAAAAATGAAAAATCCATAATAAACGAAATAAAAATTACAGAACCATCGATATTCATTTAAATTGTTATAAGGTTATTGCTTTACAAATTTAACTATACAGCTTTGTGAATGAGAATGGTACGTGTGATCATGCGTATCTTTGAAGAATCAGGTCGTAAACCTCTGTCGTTGGCAATTAGTGTTATGGTATGGCCTCCATTTACTAGATCCTCAACAAACTCATTTATCTGATCAGCAGCTTGTTCACCGCAAGGTCCTAATCGACAAAATCCAGAGAAGCTCTCTTAGAAGTTTTATTGAAACAAATTCAAGAAATTTGGGCTAATCTAGAGTTTTGAATAATTAGCCTCGGGTTTGAAAAGGGCTGGTCTTATTATAATTTTGTGCATAGGTTGAGGTTATAGAGCTTTCACAATTATAAACATAAAAAAATGGATGTAATTTTATAGATGATTTTGTATAGTTTTTCCTTTTCAGTTTTCACATTACATGAATCAAACAAACTAGTTAAAAATACCCTAACCATATTCTAAAAATAGCTAACATTTATAACCATTTTCTAATAATTAGAGAAAAAGGAACAGCTCATGAACCCAAATATGAGTCAAGAAAAAACAACTCCTAACCGTAAATAACAACAAGCTCACCAAAAATGTCCATCTCCTTTACAAGTTTAAATTCTCAATCTCCATCTCCCCCATTCACTTTTATCATCCTTGATTGTTTTAAATCGATCTGCGTTGCAAACCTCATAAGAATCCCCTAAGCTCTTTGTGAATCAGCTAAGATAATATAACCCCAAAGAGTTATATTCAAATAAAAGAGCTTAGGGGATCAATATCAACACATATAAACCAATGGCCAACCACTTCTTATTTGTATTCTTTATCATAGTTCTAACCGTCATTAATGGAATCTCAGCAGCTGATGATTCTGGAAAGTCTCAACCGCCTTCTCCATCAAAGACCGTTGCTGACAACAAAGCAAAAGCTGATAACTCAACAAAGAACTTGATAAATAGTCTTGGACCGTCTCAAGATTATGCGGATTACGAAATCCCCTTAGAACTTGCACCAGACGGTGTCACGGTGGTGGGGGATTACGTGCCTGCTAGTAACGACGGCGGAAGAGGTGTCACCGATACGCTTGCACAACCTGAAGAGGAAAAAACAACGCCGCCACCGAGCTCCGCCTCTAGATCGTCTTCAACAGTTTTGGCTGTTGTTGTTGCGGTTGGAGGAGCCATCTTATTTTTCTTTTGAAACGGACAAAAGATAAAATTTATATGTTGTTCGATATATCAATCATAGAGTGTGCAACATGAGATGGTTTTTTATTTGTGTAACGTCAAATTTGATTTTGCGTTGAGCCTTTTTTTTTTAATGTTATTTCTTTGTGTCAACAGGAAATTTCATTAGTAAAATGTCGAAATAGCATAATTAATCTCAGTGTCATATATTCAAAATAATCAGAGGAAAGGCCATGTTTCTTAGCCAAAACATCAACTTATCTAGTAGATATGATCGATGAGTCCATGCAATCTTTGCGTCTTCAAAACGTGTTTTGTAAATACTTCAGATCATTGCCGTCCATCAGATCACCAATTAGTTTTACAATTCACCTTCAATACCATCTTCATGTATCATACATTTTTACATTGCGAAATGCCTGACTATTGATACAAATCATAAAACATCGAGCCAAAGCCGAATGTCTTTAATTTTTTTTTAGATAGACTTAGGCCGTGTTCTTTTCGGAGTCGCGCGACTCTGAACGACGATTGTCTTAAAAGTAAATATATTATGTAAATATTTATAATTTAAAAGGTATAAATGTAATTTTTTAAAATTCATGATAAAAATTAGATTTTTTGGGTGAGATCCATCGTCTTCTCCATTAAATTCCATAAAAATTCTTCCATGATTTTTGAATCAGCGACAGTTGCAACATCAAAATAGAGTATGGGTGGTGTTGCCACTAATTGTAGGCTTCAAGCGATTTTAGAATTATAAAAAAATGATCGCACGGCAAAAAATGCAGAAGAAGGAAGAGAAGATTTAAGAGTGACTGTTGCTATTTATTGATGACTGAGTCGCAATCGCAGCGATTGTGCCCCGAACAGGACCTTACTAGTTTAGTAGTAATACTTTTAAAATAGATTAAGAAACCGTGACCATAAGTAAAAGTACTAGGATGTCACAATTTTTTGGGTTCCCCCCCCCCCTCCCATTATGACAATTGTTATATTTTTAATTTCAAAACAAAAATCTGAAAATATAAATATGTGTTGAAAAACAAATATAACTATAAATTTTTTCTAAACCGAAACAAAATAACACATTTCTTAATTATTCTTCTCTTTTTTCGCAAAAAAAAACCACATATTAGTTGTACCATGAATCAAGTATTAACTATCAAGAAAAAAGAAGGAAAATATCTATCAAGCTCATTTGTTATAGTCAGCAGGACAAGAAGAATGTGTACTGTCCGAGAAAATTGGACGTAAACAACATCCTCTTTGGCGTTTGAACGTGTTGCCGACAACTTTATGGCATTGGCCCGGTTTTTCCATGTCAACTCAATCGATCAACGTGCAATTTCATCTTCGTGATTGGCTGAACAAAATCTTTATTGACAAAACTTTATTAGTGGATTCATGTTATATAGTACTCATAATTGAAGTTTCTTCCTCAAATCACTAAAAGAGTTCCACCTTATGGTCGTAATTATTAGTTAAGGTAGAATGAAATTTTTTATACTAATTAGTAATTACCGAGCCCAAAAAATATCATAAATAATATTAGTTTATGGATGGTTGATGTTGAAAACTAAAGTACGTAGAAATGATGATAATTTCTAGCTTGAAAATTATATTGATATAAAATCTGAAAATCATCAACCTCTCGCAAATGTCTTAGAGACATAGCAGACGCATTACACTTATAACATTACATTTTTAAAGACATTCTCCTTAGAAAAAACAAAAACTCTTACCATTTGTTAAACATAAGCACCATTGCAAAAACAATGATTCTTTAAAATATTTTATCTCATTAACACGGACGGCCGCGACGACAGCCTAAAGTGCCTGCCGTCGTCGTGATAGAACCCACAAGCGACGATGGCCTCGCGCTAAGACTCGAAGCTCTTGCATAAGTCGAAGGTGCTTCGGCACCCGACTCCCGGAAATAAGCTCCGTTCAACAACATATCACCTTCCGATCTCCAGTTCCAATCTCTCCATTGGCTCTCCGGTGCATCCTCATGTTTAGTAACCTATCCATATAGACGAATTTAACACACGTAAATATATAAATAAATGTCACATATTTATAAACATTTATGAAAAATAATATGTATACCTCTTTATTAAATCGAGTGTTTGGGGCGAGAAATCTATTCCCTTGGCTGTATATAGTTGGAGAAGCACTTCCTCCAATTGCATACATTTCCCAATGAGTATAATCATTGTTCACTACATGGAAATATCCATGCCTGCATCTGTTTTATTTATTTTATAAACAAAACCCCCAAAATATTAGCATTTTATGGTTTTAAAAGTTTAAAACAATTGAAATATGTTCTCTTAGTTTTCTCAAAGTTTCTCATATTAATATCATTCAAGTTTTTCATCCATGCATCTCCCAATATCTAATATACAAACACTATACAACAATGACATAATTAAAACCACTATAATCGTTCTCTAACCCACTGAAGTAAAATGGTAACGAATATGTTTTATATAACGAATGGCCGACACTAGTATTTGGTTATTGTTGTATATTCACTTCAATTCGTATCTACAGTTACTAAAATAAATCTTCTATATAGCGATGTGATCGATCCATAGTGGTTTAAAAGTCTCATTCCGCTTTTGTTGACTTCTTCCATACTCTATAGTCTCTAAAGCAAAGCTTTCACATTCAAACTAGTCTTTATGGGCGTGCTTCGCATGCAAGCCTAATATATATATGTATTCTAACTAACTATTGATACATCTATATATGTGCACGCAATGAGGGGTATAAGAGTAAGTTTCTTACCGTGGCATCCTTTGTACAAGTCCTTCTCCGAAATGGTTAAACGCAATTGTGACTTGCATATTCTTGTCCTGAGTGTAACTATCACTATGTCCTAAAAGCATGACCTTGTCGTGGTGAGTCATGTGGTTGTTCGATATGGTTATAGCCGTCGAACCATGTATAGCGTCTATGAGTCCATCGTCGCAGTTAGACAACGAGCAATGGTCAATCCACACGTGTTTCCCTCCAAATATCGCCACCGCGTCTCCATCGGATGGCATCCAATATCCGGTGTGACGTGGACCATCTCTAATCATGCCACCTACATACACAAAAAATATTAGCAATGTATACTTTTCTCTATACTAGAACATTTTTTGAGTTATTATGTATATAAAGTCTTTTAAATTTGTCTCACCTGGTCCTGGTTTGCAATCATGGATGTTAATGCCATGAATGATGATGTTGTTTGCGTAATGGATCTTTAAGCATGGTCCATTGGTAATGTGAACACTCGAGCCTCTACCATCAATGGTCTTGAAAGATGAGATGATAAGTTCTTTTTTAAGCCTAATGACCATATCTCTCTTGAAAATGATCCATAATGGTTCTTCTTGTGTGACCGCATGTCTCAGCGTTCCAGGTCTAGGGTTCACAGGATCATCGTTGGACGGATCCGTAACTACGTAGAATCGTCCACCGCGCCCTCCCATAGCATTTTTGCCAAATCCGATGGCGCAATCGGCTAACCGTTGGCGGTTTGTTTCCCAATTCGGGTCACACCGCCAACAATCGTCGATAGGATTTCCTGTTCTGCAAGATAGGTAGGACAAACTCCTCCTTGATGCATTGAATACACTTCTACAAAGAGAAAAAAAAAATAGACAAAAATTCTTATTAATTAAAAAACTGATCATTCTGTAAATAAATGTGAAACATTTAATATGTGGATAAAAAGTGTACAGTTGAAAAAGGAAAAAAGATGAAAGACTTAAATGTGAACATATTATGTTGGTTGAGGATAAAAAAATGTTGGACAGACACAATTGGAATTTATATTCACTAGCTAACTTCACTTTAACCCTTTGTGAAATTACAAATACAGTCGTTCACATAAAGCCCTTTGATGGGAAACTATCATGTGAACCATAGTAATTCATTAAACTTTCTCTTAATTAGAAAAATAAGACGTTAAAAACTGTAAATGTGAATCATTAATTCATTAGTAATAACGAATTCAGCAAAATAATCGTAAGACACTAGGTTTGAACCAGCGGTACACCGCGGGACAATTTGTTTTTTTTTTATTATGTATTTTTAATTTCTTTAAAAATATATTTCTAATTTGTTTTTTTTTTTCTTTGCTAGTAAAACATAGTTATAAATTGTACAATCGAATCAATTATGAGTTACGCGAGTTTACGACACTTTTACTCGTATATGTATAATTAAATGTATCACAATTACGTACAAATAAGTTTTACAGAAGCTAGCCACATTGTTATAATAAAACTTGAAACCATCCTATTCATTCATACGTACCTGTTAACTTCATCAACTACTAGATTTGGATCTTGAACATGCGTCACCGACGAACTCGAAGAAAATGCAACCGTGTTCAAGATTGATAGAAGAAGTAGAAGAGCGTAAGCTGTATTAGAATACGAAGACATTATCCTAAAGATGGATTGAGAGAAGTCTTTGTGATTCTTGTTTTTGTGTGTTTTGTGTTGAAGCTTGTTATTGTCGGAAAGTATTTAAAGAGGAAGAAGAAGAGTTCCGGGAGTGAAGGCGTGATTTATTTTTTAAATTATATTTTCTTGAACATATATATTATATAGTTTTTATTAAAGTCACAATGTGATTGGGGACCTACGTTATCGTAATTTCAGGTGAACGTATAAACCAAAAACGGTTAATGTTTGTGAAACCGTTAATTGGGTTTAGTTTATAGTCAAAAAGGTAGTTTGCTTAATGTCAACCTTATTGACCTCGAACGATGCCGTTTTCATAATTTCTTCACTTGTCTTCTTCACATTTGCAATCAAAGAAACGAAATCACAGCAACAAATTTGTGTGAGTGGGTGTTTAAACGAAATGATGAGTTTTTTGGTGAAAGTAAAAAACAAAAAACCTACTAACCGTTAATTGAGCATGGTAGTCAAAAGTAACTGCCTAAAAGTCAACTTTTTCGACATTGAGAAATGAGAACGGTGCCGTTTCTTGGTGTGTTTTTTTCTTCCTTTAATTTTTTACATTTAAAGAACATTTTGTTTATGATATCATTATATGTTTCCTCATTACATCATATGTTTTATTATTATCATATTGTATGGTAATAGCATCTCATCACAATTCTAAGATTAGAACATATTGGTTGGCTACTATGGACTGTCACTCTTACTATAACATTAGTTTCTGTTGTTCCAAGTTTTGTTTTCAATGGTTGGAATTG